GTTGTTAATAACGCCCCAGTTGTTCGTATACACTGCGCTTCTAAAATCTTTCTTCAGATTAGTAAAATAGTATACCAGGTAGCAATCGATCATGTTGCGAGGTAATGAAACTAGTTATGACATAACTAAAATAAGAAATGCATTTCGTCCATGTTGTAAAAGTAGCAAGTTACTTTTTCTCGACAATTATCGTTTCATTGTTTGCAATTCAGAATAATTTGTGTATTTCAGCATGCTTTCAAGTAAGCTGAACGTTTTTACTCAACAGTACACGTAAAAGTTACTCGAACTCACCGTCGGCGATTAACAACCTACAGAAGATCCATGAACTGGTATAAATGTTGGATCGAGAAATGTTCTGGAACCATTCTGAAATTAAATTGCAGATGCCTGCTTTTTCGTATTCAGCGATTTACCTTGTATTAATGCCCTTCTCAAATGATAACTAGGAAGTGTTTCGATAATGCACTGTAACGTCGGGCTGGGTAACCAGCAGATGTGGGCGCAAAGTGGAGTTATTGATGAAGAAAATGGGAGTCCCTATTGATATCGGATCATTAGAGGGAGCCACGCAACTAACCTCAATTGCTGTCGATGAATACCCGAGTGAGATGCTAGCTACCGTGTTGTGTGTCCCAACCGTCCAGAATGCCCCTAAAGAGGCCTCTGATATTGTACTGGACGTCGTCCAAGATAAGACCGATCTTTTATCCCTGAGCCCAAGAAAAGCAAGAAAAAGAGGGCTAAGAAGGTATTGGAGGTGGAGCACAAAGCTCCAACTCCAATCACTCCAGCTCCTTTGACGAAGAAACGTGCCGTGTTGACTTCGGACACACCAGCAAAGTCTGAAAAGACTAGACCGGTGAAGGGGTTGGAGGTAGAACACAAAGCCTCAACCTCAAGTACTCCAGCACGCTTGGCAAAGAAACGCGCCGTATCACCCGTCAAACCGGTCAAAACTGGGGTCGAGTCGAAGACTCGTGAAGTGAATACACCTCGTCGAGGTAATTCTTTTATTGATAGTAGCGTTATCGTTCGTAACGTTGCTGAATCCGCGGCAGCTCTTCACAAGGAACGCATGTTGGATGATCTGGTGGTTCAAGCTCTCCTGTAACAAGATGATTTCACCTGGTCTCCCCGGTGTCACTATCAGGAAGCTAACCAGATTGGCGAACGTCCCTGCCGATACGCCAAATCCGCGACCCAGACTACGCTTTGCATTCAAACTCAATGTTAGTCATGTCAGCGCTCAGCCGGACCTACCACTGGCAGATCGACTGAAGTTAAAGGAAGCCATAAAAAGCCTCAAGAGCAGGCGGGCTGTTGGTGAGCGAAGCCTTCGTCTTATGGGTTATCAGGTGGTTAGCCGGAAGTCAAATTCTGCCCTACCAGAACCTCTCCTGGTAGCGTACGACCCAGGGCTGGTCGTGCCCAGATCCTTCGGGTAGTGCTTAATAATGTGTGTAGCCTAAGGAACAAGGTAAATGAGGTGAGTCTACTTGTAGACAAATCTTGTCCCGACATACTTGCTTTCATTGAAATGTAGTTGTCGCCGGATATCACAACGGTGAAGTATGTTTACCTGGCTACGCACTACTTAGATAAGAGCGATCATTTGACCGCCAAGGTGGAGGCATTGCGCATTATGTGAGTTGTAAGGGTGATGTGTTGAGGATTTATGTGTTCTAGTCGCCGGATCAAATTTTGAAGCCCTATCGACTATTGTGTGCACATTCTCTGCTTAGTTTGCAGCTTTAGTGGTATATCGAAGTCCCAGAAGTATCTCCAGGGAGGTTATTGAATTTATTCGTGGTCAGGCTGCAAAAGTGTCGAATACTGGGTGACTTCCACCTCATTGGAGTCTGCTTGGCTGATCTATTTTGCAGTTCGGCGGGGAGCTTTCGGTTCGGATCTCCTCGAGCTAACGTCGCAAATTCCTTGGCATCAGTTCGTGGACCTCCCGACTAGATATATGAGAAACCAACTTCTCTCTACCTTGAATCGCACGGTTTCGTAAGTGATATTAAATACGGCTATCCTCTAGGAGCCAGTGACCATGTCTGATTATCCTTTCGATGTGCTCTAACTGTGTCATCAAGCTACTGCTAAGGCATGTCCAAATATTTGGCGGGCAGACTTTAACGCAATGCGAGACAAAACTTCAGTTCTGCGTTGCGCAGTTACCGTGGCTGACCCAGTTGAGACAGCCTAAGAGAAATTTAGGGCATACCTCACCGAGATCTCTGCTCCACACAGCGCACTCATTAAGAGACAGGTGACACATGCAAAGCCTCCTTGGATAGATCATACAGGTAAATACCTGCTCAGGAAGCGCTCTAAGTGCTGGCGTACTTACCAAGCGGCTTCATCAACTAGCACCTACGAAAGCTATCGAGCGGTTAGAAATAAATGTAAGCAACATCTTAGGACTCTTCGCCTTCAGTACGAGGAGGATTTGCCTGACAGCTGTAACAAATCCAAAGAAGTTCTTCGCTTTCTTGAAGAGACGCAGCGGTACAAACTCGTCTATACCGGCTTTACTACGTGCGGACGGGATCTGTGGGAATAATAATAATAATAATAATAATAATAATAATAATAACAATAATAATAATGTGTCGGCTGTGCACCGTAACGGCGCTTCGCTGCCAAGCGACCACCACCAGTCGCACGCGGGCTGAGTATACCGCGAGGACGCCGACCTCTACGCGGATTCGAACCGGTGACCTTATGGTTGCAAACCAAACGCACAGACCACTCGGCCACCGGCCGACATACCGGCATGCCGACTGAGAAAAGGCTTGTATACTTAGCAAACAGTAATACCGGTGTCTTTTCTCGTGTGGCCACTCTACCTCAGTTTGAGCTGTAACAAAAATCCCGGAGGATTCTTGCCTAACTGAAATTAGCATAACGGAGACATAAGTTTTCGGGCTATTGCAAGGGCTAAATCCTTCCAAAGCTTCTGGCCCTGATTCAATTCATCCGAAGCTGATGCATGAATTGGCCGCTGAGCTAAGTGGCCCTCGCACATGCTTGTTTACGATATCGCTCCACAACTGCGTTTTATCTTCAGAAGAGAAAGAGGCAATCATCTGTCCGATTTTGAAGCGCGGTGACATAGCTCTGCCCGCGAACTACCTGCCTGTCAGCTTGACAAGCGTAGTAGTTAAGTTGGTTAAAAAATTGGTCAGGGATTCGGTGGAGAATCACCTGCTTATGTCTAACCTTCTCATTGCGGCACGGCAGGGATCAGTAAGGGATTTTCGTGTCAGAAAAATTTACTTGTATGTCATGAATGCTGGGCTGAGGCAATAGACAACGGTCACGCTATCGACGTGCTTTTCGTTGACTTCTCGAAAGCCTTTGAGCCTGTCCCACATCAACGACTCGAATCGAAGTTGGAATCGTATGGGATAACTGGAGCCGTCCTTAAATCGGTGTCTGCTTTTCCAGAGGGGAGAAAACAGTGGATAGGAGTAGGACGTCGCATTTCTCTTAGATAAGCTGTTCTTAGTAGCGTTCCGTAGAGCACGGTACTAGGGCCGTTGCTTTTCGCAATTTACGTCAATGATATACCCCAGGAGCTTGAAGTACCGTCGATATTGTTTGTTGATGACCTCAAGCTTTAGAATATTGTGGATCTTCTTGGGGCACTGAGGCAATTCAGGGTGTCTTGGATAGGCTCCGGGACTGGTCAACATTATGGTTGATGCCTATAAATCAGGCGATATGTTTTGTCCTCCGCACTGGAGGTGCTAGTCCCCCACGCGCTATGTAATTGTTGGAAGTTAAATCCTCGTTCTTATTCAGCAGGTCGATCTCGGTATCGTCCACGCCTCAGTGCTTTACTCTGTGGACAATTGGAGAAAGACTGCTTGTAGAGGGTTCCGTATGATGTGGTTTTTCGCCGCTTCTTCGTTGTCCTAACGGCCAATATCCTTGTGAAGCTGTCCTAAGCTTTTGTGTGACCCACTTAGAATACTGTATCCAAGCTTGCCCATCTTGTCTTGTAAGGAACAAAATGGAACTGGAGAGGGTTTTGCGAATAGGTACAAGTTTAGGGGAGGGATTACGGGGGCAAACGTACTCCGAACGTTTGCTTAGCTTGGGTATGTACCCAATGCACTACCGCAGAATTAAAGGAGACTTGATCCTCACTTACCGTATCCTAACGGGTATGATCGGTCCAGAGTTGTCCTGCCTATTTAGTCCCGCGAAGCTGCCTAGTCTCCGTGGTCACCCGTTGAAGCAGCACAAATTGCGTTCTGATTGGGTAAGGACAATAACTCGCTTGTTGTGCCAGGTTATTGAACGTTGGAACTCGCTTTCGGAGCACGTCATTATGGAGTCTAGTTGTGGGTTTCGTGCGGCAGTTAAATGCTCGTGAGTGGTAGTACTAAACCTTCCCCTTCTCCTAACCGACTTGTATCTTCAACTTTCCGTTAGCTTTCTTAAAGTTCTCACACATCATTATGATCATTGTTTAGCCGACATTCCTCATCTTGTTTTATTAGCTTACCAATCACTCTCTTAGTTCACATAAACTGGACTGGCAGGGATTGCTGAGTAGGAAAGTGTGAGTAGTAATTGCTTGAACAGGGTGTGGTGCGGTCTTTATATTAAGCTTTTCAACATCACAAGCAGGCCTTTAAATTCTAAAACCAACGATACGCAAAAAAGGAACTTTCACGGGATTATCCCCTTGTTCCGGTCACAACTGAACGTAGTTGAAATTAATAATACATGTTAAGTAAAAAGGACGACCAATATACTTGCTCGGACAATTGTCAATGACAAGGTTTCCATGCGCATGTGTGATTTCTAACCATAAGGAAAACATTAAGCATCGTATAAAATAAATAAATAAATTACTTGCATGACACTTTTGTGCTACAAAATCTAAAGTTTAATTGTCAAGTTTATTTCACAATTGTGGCTAAAGTTATAAGCATTGTGTGTAACCGGTTGGATCGCAAGGTTATTTTAAACCTTCATACCTTAATTGTTCCTTAGCTTGCTCCAAGGTCTTCTGCAGAAGTGCCTGTACACCACGAATTACTTCTGTCTCCTTGTATAATTCTTTTTGGGCATTGTCATGAACAAGGTCGATATTGGTCCTTCCTTCTCTAAAAAATGATAAAACAGCCGCCGATAAAACCTGGTAAGGATGCATTGTTGAGACAAATGCAAAGGTTCGTCCGTTGCTTCCAACGCTTTCTTAAGTCTTATAAACGAGTGGTTTAAAGCATCAGTTTCAGTAGCGACGTCTTCTAACTTTTTGTTTATTTCTGACTTCCAAAATTTAATATCCTTTATTCGTTGATCTGGAAAGTTTAAATATATGCTACTGGATACCAATTTTCTTGTTCACATCCTTCAAGGTTCGATCCGTCCGCTTTTCAGATTCCTGTATAAACCTATCGCATTCGTTCTGTAGCCCCTGAGAATATTCTCTCTCTTTCTCCGCCGCTCTGTAGTTTAAATTGTTACTTTGAACCCATTCCTTATGAGTGAAGTATAATGGCTTCCTGACTAAGCCCGTCATTATTCGGTCCGTCGAATTCACGGGTTTAACAAGCCAGGAACACGGTTGAGGATGGATGGTGGGCAAGACCTGCTCAATAATTTAGGGTAAGTTTCGATTTTTCCTACATTAGAAACACAGATTTCAGAGCACATTGTGATGGTCAAGCCAAGGAAAGATTATGTAGGCAAATTATTGCTTGGTTTATACCTTTGATCCTGCACTCAAGCGAGGTGAAGTCAAGTCTGATCTTCAGGGACGAAGCAAGTTTAGACCTAACAGACGCTCCAGTTCGCGTTCTGATAAGCAAGCCACTGCTTCCAGCACTTTGACGTCCAAGCTTCACTTCTTCGGCAGTTAGGTAAGTTTATATATCCAAAGATAAACGAACTTATGAGTCAATATAGGTTATTAAAACCTATTATCGCAACATATTGCGTCCGATTTCACCCGGAAACGTAACAAATATTATGTCAGTGTAACATTCACATTTAGACGAGAAACAGTATCCATTTTTCGAATTCCCGCCACTCGCGAGTACACTGAAGCCGTCCTCCGTTTCTGGCTTAACTAAATTTTTACCATTTTAAGGTCATATAAAATCGCCATGTCAATAATAGATCGTCGGCTCATGTAAAGGATTTAAACATCTAAATAAATGTCAGTCCTTCATTTTTCCCTGAAAGGTAACATACAGGTATAGAAACGCACAGCATAAGAAAACGGCAATTGGTGTTTAACGGATACATGTACGACGGGTGACTGTTGATAGAACACAGACACGACGTTTAGACCAATTCCAGACAAAATCGTTCAATTAAAGATGCGTATTCCCGCATTACTTTTGCAAATGTTGTAGACGAGATTTAGATAACAATAGCACTTCTAGCTAGTCCTATCGCGTTAAACAATGCTGACCGTTATTTTCCAGCGCGGTAGATCATGCGCAGGGATTGCTTAAAAAGTTTGCAACGTTCACATACATAGAGCCTATTGTACGTTTTTAAGGAAAGCATGATAGCACATTTTTGCAAAGACTGCCCGCTTTAAATAAACTACGTGCTCGGCTTGCATTGGTCTTCTAGGCCTAGTAAATTGTATTCTTTGACTAAGCGCGTAGTAGCGTGCATCTATCAGAAGGAAAATGAAGTCGGACCTAGCTGATAATATTCGAGGCGCTACACAAGACGTGGTCAGAGAAAGCAAGACAAGAGTGACCGGTAGCACAGCATCTTATAAGGCAGACGATTGTCGCGCCACATGTAGGCCAAATTGGCCGTAATTGTGAGGCGTAGAATATGAGGGGCGGGGTGCGGTCAACCCCGGGAGGTTTGAGAGCGGGCGGCGTCTTTTGTACCGTTGATTGTTCCATACTAGATAGTATGAGCAATGTTTTCAGCTTAACTGTATGTTGTGTGCTGACTGTAGAATTGAAGAGTGGGGGCTCATGAGGTTCAGCTGGCGCTACGTTGAACATTCTTATTTTACGCTGTAGAACCAACAAAACTTTGCGCTACATCACACCGTAAAGGTTGGTCCTAGTGATCCCTTCCCTAGTTCTTTTTTGATCACTTTCACCAACGTTGTTTCAGTGTCTTTAATAGCCGTTCATTTCATCGAAAGTTAATACCACATTTTCCTCAGCCCATTCCGTGGTCTTTACGAGCCTATTCTGCCCTTAGTTAGTGTGAACATTTTGCCGCCTCTTCGGGCGGCAAAATTTGTTGCTACGCCACTATGTAGTGCGAAGGCTAATGAAGCGAGAAATGATAAGGCAAAAGTAGCCAGCCATGTGCTAATACATAAAGGGTAGTAGTTGTCTGTTTGGGTGCTACAAAACCCCCACTTACTAAGCTGAACACTCTGCGCCCTCGCTAGCGAATATGTTAGGTGAATCCGGGGTCGTTGGGCAATATCTTTCGAGTATAGTGCGTGAGCGTACGCGCAAATGTACATTCGCCAGAATTCGGTGTCCGTTGAGCAGTTGGTTATTCGTTGTTCCTTGACTACAGAGTGGGATACGAGAATTTGTAGCGTGCTTGTTGGGATCCAATGAGCTCGCTAGCCCAGTAAAACGGACTACAGGACCTTAACATTCGCTGCTACCTGACAGTGCGCTTGGGCTTTTCACTATCCTCACTACAGCCTACATTACGCCATAGGGACCCTGGTCTCACAAAGCAATGGCTAACTTTGCGCGTTATGGTCTATGTTGACCACGGTGATCCTCGAAGGCGTTTCTCTTTAGGACAAGTCAATACGACGCGTAGTCTGTGACTAGTGAAAGAAAGAAAAGAAAAGTTACGCAGTACAATCGCCAACCTGAACAAACCTATGGTTTGCGTTAAAAGCATATAAGCGTATATTAATTTTGGATTTGTTAAGTTTTCCGCCCGTTGCTAGTTTAGTTGGGTTACCAAAACCCACTGGACCCAAAACGGAGCAGCTAGACACAACAGGAACAGAATTAGGCACATTTATATTGCGCACAATCAACGAAACGTACTGGTATCCAGGCTTCGTTACCACGACGGTTGGTCGAGGGCAACAGGTTGGGTTCGAAAGCTGAGATCGGGGTGTTTATGCTAGTGTACCGGGTTCGCGGTGTTAATGGACAACCTTAGGATGCTAAAACTGGTGTGGTTAATTAAAAGGTCGCACGAAGCCCTGCTAGATGTGGTAAGCGCGATGTGCACCTTATAAATGCTGGGTTGTTGGGATCGACGTTAACTATTTCTCGTCCGCCACCGCATTCGATTGTTAATGTCGTACTTCTCCGGCTAATCGAGATAGAGGGTCCGATGGATAGTGGCTGCCAAGGCCACCCTACATCATCTGCAAGTGTCAGTAAGTGCGAGTAAGTGGACGGCTCTCCGGGCACATACTCCCTTGCCATTTGCAACCTTGGGGTGAGCAGGCGCAGGGCATACATCTGATGACCCAACAGATCAGCGTAACTTCCGCAAGCGAACTATGAAGTGGACCTTATTGGGGCGTCAAGTCATCCGGGCAAACGCAGACTGTAGCTGTAGACTAGTGCGCCGGTGTTGGCTGAAAGCTGTTTTTACTGTATTCCTTAATTTTTGGAGGTCTAGGAGAGGGTTTACTCACTGTAAAGGGTCTGCGTGCGTCCTGAACACTGCCGTCAGCTGCCCATTAACTCGCTTTGCCATGCTATTAGTTAGCCGTTATACGCGCCTTTGTCTACCGTTGGAGACAACGCAACTCCTTAGCCTACCCGGCGAACTTGGACGCGATGCAAAACTCTATCTGTAGTTGTAACGAGGGGGCAACCAAAATTAGCTATTTAGTGTTTTAAATTGCATTTGCTGCTGTCTCTATAGTTCACCTTTGTATCGGAATGACCTGCCAGCTGCATCCATGACTGTTGCGCGTCATTGGGTAGATCGAACCTTTCTAAGGCGGCAAAGGACTTCCGAGGTTCTTGTGCATGTGACGAAAACGTGAGTTTGCTGCCTAAAACTTGTCTAACGGACTTTCCATATGCATTTTATATTCGCGCGTTGACACGGAAGGCAAGCAGCTTCCAGAGTACGTACGTCAAGATCGAAATTACGCCAAAGGAATCGCGAGTTTATTACTTTAACCCTTTGACTCCGGATTAATTTACCTGCAGCTCGACGTGTACCGCCAATGTTTACCCCACACACAGTAGAACAAAGTATCGGAGTTCGGTCCATAGTTACTTGCAACCAGAAGGCTATGTACGTACCTGGCAACTAGCGGCAGGAATGTTGCTTGCGCTGAAGTTGTATTGCGATTTAAACAATGTGGTACGTATAAGTAACGCCATGACACAAATGGTTAACAGAGTGTTGAACGCCTGGGTGGGACATGCAGTGCAACGTAGCGCGCACGGTCTGCCGGAACGCGCTTGGGAGGAATGGGCGCGGCATGCCCAGCGTTGAATAACAACTTTTTGTTCCGTCTGGATACGTCGGCAGTACGGGTAGTAGGTCCATTGAGATAAGTTGCGTAGCCGTTCAAACTCAAGATCAATGAGTTGCGATGCGAGCTCACCTGCCAAGCGGAGAGCAGTGTGCGAGGCAGCTAGAGTCGCAAAAATTTATGAAACAGTGTCGTCATTGTGTACACCTGGAACATGCTGTAGGTCGATCGTTAACCAGGCGGTGCGTATCTCTGGAGGGGTGAAGGTTGGTTTTCGAGCCGTGCATGTAATTGGTGCAGGCGGTGGAAGTGCTTTCTTCTAAGATATGCAGGAAATGACGTAGGATTAAATGAACGGCTAATATTTTGCTGCCGATCGTTCTGTGACGTGTTTGGTCGGTGGCAAGTGGTTAGTGATCATCGACAACGGCTGTCATGCGGCACTACTGTGTGCTGAAAGGCCGTCAAAACTGCCAAGTCAGAACCGCGGTGCTGAGCGACAGTGGGCTGTCAGTTCCTGATGTGCCTTAGAAGCTGTACAAGATACATACTTGTAAGCTTTTTACGCGGTGCGCACTGCAGCAGCAACGTCAACGTTCTAAACTAGGTTTCGAAGAAGGTCCATGAGGGGCTGCATAATTGACGAATCCTTCATATAACTATAACAACATTTGCCAGGTCCGACAAGGAGTACTAGCTTTTGGCATTCATGTGGCTCGAGATAGCCGATGACGGCCTTA